CAGTCTAGTCTCTGGTGTTTATAGCTTCAGAGCAAACAAAACACATCATTCATAACAGAAACAGCTCGCAATAGCCACAGGAACGTTGCTGCAAGACAGGCATATGTAACGACGACTTAGCGCTCTTAAACGCGTGTGTCATTAAATACAGTCCTCCTGACAACAGGCCAGTGAAAAATCTAACAATCTACAGCAAAACCATCAATTATTATGGGCGTTATAACATACGTGTGCAGCTGGACGAAACATACACGTCGAACCCCCCCAGACGATTTAAATCCCTGACGAAACATACACGACGAACCACGGCAACGGGTTAACAGTCTTTAGCCTCTTGACAGAGCACACCAGCAGTTTTACTGCAAGTTGCTGTTCAGTATACACAGTATGCTCATTGCAGCCAAACTTTGCGTCATATCATCGTACTTTTTCAAAAATTCTGATTTGTCTGATACCAATTCAAAAAGAGGCAATAAGCTTTTGTTTCCTGCTTGGCTATTTACTATTTTAAATTGCTGTGGTTGATATATCACAGTGTGGATTTTGAAATGCTAGATGAATCACTGATCAGATGTTCTGTGTGAATCAGGTATTAGAGATAAAGTGGGGATATAATGGAACAGTACATCAGCAAAGTGCTGAGTTAAAGAGAACATTCGTCTTCTGGTCTATAATGTTGATGTTAATTTACTTTATTAAAGGAGGAACCTGACAGCGTTTGGACGGATAATAGAACGGTCAAGTTGGGGGCCACTACAGATTCTCTCATAAAACTTAATTGATGCTTAAAAGAAATGTATGAGTCCAATTTATTGTGGTATGTAGACCCGTTGCTAGGCAGCGACAATGAGATAGTTAACACTACAGTGGCCGTTGCTAGGCAGCGGCCCACAAACAACAGAGGAATGGTATTTTTTTCTCTGTGGTCCATGCCGAGATGTTATAAGCAGGACAAGTCTAGAGTTAGTTGAGAGTTAACAGAGGAAGAAATTAGCTGTGAGACAGTCACCAGCCAGTAAGAACATGAACACAGAAGCAGAGAGCAGGGTTGAATATGTCACTGGGCAGTGACTGTTGAAGACACAGCAGAATGATTTAGTGAAATGAAGAGTGTGCAAATTAGCAACAGTGTTATAATTACCTGTAGTATGATTTGTAAGTGTTCATTAATTCCAATTGTCACTCCTAACCCCATCTGTGGGCACTATCATGTGACTGTACCAACCATCTTGATATGGAGACCCAGCCTCTGACCTTTGCATACTGCCTGCCTGAGTGGCTCAGTTGCTCCACTGTGTGTGCAATGGATTCTGAAGTGTTTCAGAGGTAGAAAGGGCTCAGGAAGGTTTTGCTGAATTGTGAAGCAGCATATGTCTTGCTGCTAGTTTCTGGGGTAACATATCCTTTGTAACTGTACGCATCCTTCACGGATATGTCTTATTTGTTTGTATGTAACGATTAAGTTTAGCTGTGGAAATAAGATGCTCCAGAGGGATCAAGGTCCTCTGAACTGGCCTTTTGTTACGAGGGACAGAAGGGTGATTAGTGAGTCCATTGCATTCAGGGGGGGTAGGTATCCCTTCTGTCGTCCGTGCCTGTGGAGGTGAAGGACCTGTGGATAGAAGCTTCGAGAAGGCATGTAGACCAGAAGGGGTACTTGCGCTTGGTCATATAGCCCCCAGTAGAAAATTCAAGATCGCTGTAAGAAGGTGGTTTTTGAAAGCAGCGGCGGTAGTAATGTAGTAGTTAGTGAGTAGAAGCCAGTGAGTGAGGGAGTGCAAGTGAGTAGAGGGAGTAAAAGATCATTTAAGAGGACAGGGAATAAAAGTGAACTCCAGAAACTTTATCAGGGAGATTGTGAACTGTTAATAAACGCTGATTTATGTAAGTGGATTTCAAAGAAATATTACGCAATGTAACGAGGAAGAGAAGTTTCTACATAGGATAAATAAAGTTAATTAATCAGAAACTTACAAAACTGAGTGAGATATTTCATTTCCTTAGAACCTGTGCCTAAGTAATAACCGATCAAGCCTGCATCCGAAACTACGTAAGCAAGCCAGCACCTGTGTACCCCTGAGATACAAGACTCATGACCCTGAACTTAGCCGAGGCACTACACACGAGGAAGGCAGCGTGTGGGATGGGTGTACCTTTCAGTTGCACAAATGATTGTACAACAGTATCTTAGTTAAATTTTTCTCATACCATTTGAATTTCAGCGTTGATGATGCTTTTCTTGCTTCTAGGGGAAAGGTCAGTATCTTTCCTAGAATTCTCCAGATCCTGCAAAGACTTGAAGATTTCTGTTGTCCCTTCGCCAACATTCCTATAATGACACAAATCACATTTTATCCATTAGTGCTGTATCATCACTATTCACAGAATGTTCAAATTGTCAGGACACTGAACACTGGGCAGATATATGGCTCAGATTAATGTTTTATATGTTTGAGATCTGTACATGTAGGAAGTACCTTTTTTCCAACATGGTCAAGAAAAAAAAATCAGTGGAGAGAAAGTAATTTAGCATCTTAGATCCTGTTTTTATCAAAGGGATTTCAGAACATCAGGGGCCTGTTGAGGGTTCAAGGTTCAAGCAGATTGATGTAAAAGTGTACGAGGAACATGTTTCTACAAACATGGTCAGAATCAAAAAGTTACACTCACTTGAGAGCTTTGATCTGTGCTTCTTTATTCTGCTGCTGCCTGGCCATCGTTGGGTCTAGCAGCTCAACTCGTGACAACATAGTTGTGTAGTTGGGGTCAGTGTCATATGGCAGTTCACCACATTCTGCAACATTGTGACATTTCTTGTTATTGGGATGTTTGATGTGAAGTCTGATGTTTTTCAACATTGCTTCACAAAATGTCATAAGGAAAGCCCAAGAAAATTTGGAGGGATTACAATTGAAAGAGACACATTTACTGTATGCTGGTGCTTTATAGCATAAATTCAGTATAAAGTAATCTGCATCAAGATAAATATTAATTTTTTAAATGACAGGAATTGTATTTTAATGCTCATAATCCTTACTCAGTGTCTAGCCAAACAGCAGGTCAGAATTGGAGCCTGTGATATCACCCTGGCTGAACAGGGACAGAAATACATGAATAGTAACTGGTTATGGAAGATGGAGGTGCCATACTGTGGCCATTCATTCATTCATTTCCTTTATTTTCCATATATCCATACAGGCAAAAATCCTAGGATGTGGAAATAGTCCATTTGATTTTAGATGTATACATGTAATAGATTACATAAGTCACACAACTAAAATAACACACACCAGTTAACTAACATAGGTAATATAAAAAAAACAAAAACAAAAAAAACAAGAGCTTATTACAATTGTAACTAAACATAATTTAAAAAGTGCATTACTATAAAAACTTAAAATTAATATAATTTTCCCATAAATCAAAATACATTGATACAGGACTCGTCATATACATACATACACATCCTCCACTTTCCATAAACATCCATACAGGGACAAACCCAGGATGTGGAATTAGTCATCAAACACATACACAAAGTCACACAAGTCACACCGCGAAGATCACCCACATTAATTATCTAGCATACTCGTATACAACAATACAAGGCAAAAAAAGTAAACAAACATAAGTCACAAGTAGCCACAATACAACTCCTCACATCTCCCTTACCAACTATATTAAAATGTGGCGTTAAGCATTCAAATTTATGTGCCTTTGTAATTAAAATACTCATTTAATGCATAAAAAGAGTTAGCATGTAAAAATCTTTTTAGGGAACGTTCAAAGGATTTCTGGTTATTAGATAATTGTTTCAGCTCTTTAGGCAGATGATTGTAGATTTTTATACCAGAACAATATGGACCCTTTTGAACTTTAGTAAGAGAAGTACTTGGGGGAAATAGGTTAACATTTTGTCTGGTACCAATATTATGAACCTCCGTATTTCTTGTGAACAAATGTATGTTATTTATAGTGTGTTGCATTAAGGAATATATGTATTGTGAACACAAAGGCAGAATTTTCATTTCCTTGAAAGAGTCTCTACATGAATCTCTTTTCTTTAATCCCATCATAATCCTTATAATTTTCTTTTGGATCATAAAAAGTTTCGTCATGTATGAAGAATTGCCCCACAAGATAATTCCATATGTCATCACAGAATGTATATAAGCAAAATAAATCATTCTTAAGCTACTTAATGATATCATAGGCTTAACTGATCTCATGAGAAAGCAAGACGAACTCAATTTTGTAACCAGGTAATCAATATGATACTTCCAACACAGCCTATTATCAATATTTAGGCCTAAAAATTTAATACACTCTAAGTTAGTTGGTAAATTTTGATCAATATTATTATGCATATTATGATCCTCATAGTTCATTAAAGTGAAATGGAGAGTGTGGGTTTTATGAATATTTAATTTTAGCAGATTGGTTCTGAACCATGTATTAATATTGTAAAATATTCTTGTCATGGCTGATTTGTATTCAGCGTATTCCGGATTAGTCACAATTATACTTGTATCATCACATACCTAGCTTGTGGTTCATGTGTCTTCCATTCTGTCTCCACTTCTTTAGTGTCTCCTCATCTCTGTATTATGAAAGAAAATATATGATCACTCAGTAGAACAAGGTACATAAAGCAGTAAATTGTTTCATTAAGCTCAGTGCTTGCTTACTTTGTTTTTTGGATGGTGGCAGCCTGCTTTGTCAGCATTGCCTTGATCTTCATCATGAACATCTCCTTCAGTAGGTTCATATGGATCTTGTCTTCATTTCTACTCCTGTAAATGATACACACAGATGGCTGAAACACACTTATCATGCCTTTATGGTAGAAGAATAATTTACTTTGTCTTATGGGACATGATACTGGATACTCTGGCAGGTAGATGCCAATGGTTTGAAGGAAATTGTATCTTCTGAGCACAAGAACAATATATGTATTTCTGCACTGAAGATGGAGGCAGCATGTTCTGAAACATTGTTAACCATCTAAACAGTGTCATGTTGGTTACATGTTTCATAGCTGTCAGTGACTGCAACACAAGCACTGTTTTTGTGATAGTGATGCCAGTACCTTTCAGTATCAGCACTAGTAACATCTTGCAGCTTCAACTGAAGAACCTTGCTGCGAACACTTTGGATTCTGTTTGTCAAGTTTGGCAGATCTTTGCTGTTGTCTAGAATGGGTTCTTCTGGCGGTTGAATATCCTGAAACAAGACACACACCTTTTCTTACTTATAACCTCTCTAAACAGCTCAGATTAGGATATACTCATAAGTAGTTCTGATAGACTTCCAGGGATTTCTGCCTGATAGAAGAAAGTGGGAGCTGGAAGATCATGCCCAAGTTAGCAATATTAAATGGATCGCAGGACAGTGGTTTGTGTGGGCCTATTAACTGGATCTGTTTGCAGTCTGTATTGTTTCTGTCTTTCTCAATGAACATGTTTTGAAAAGAGTTTCTTTATTAACTTACTATATTGCTAAAATAGAAATGTTACATAATTTTTATAATAGCTTCATTCAGTCTGTAATTTGAAGGTGAGACTTAACATATACTTTGCCAGCTTTGATGCAGACATATCTTCAAACAAGCAATGTTCCTAAACAAAAACAGGGAAAATGATTTAACTGATACACAGGAATCATTATGTAACTTCCTCATGTGTCACCAGATAAGAGGAATGTGTCAATGAAATCAGGAAACACAGGTTAATGATGACAGTATGTCCATGTGGCCATATACCACTAATCATCCACATCTACCGCTAATAACCTTTGAACCAAGTGACATTATCTTGGCATCTGTTACAAACACAGTGCCAGTTGCGATCATTTCTCTCACCTTTGTACTTTGCCACCATTAATACTAACATGACTCCTATGTGAACGTCTGATCTGGTAATGACTTTACTAGTGTGCAGCTCTCATAGGTCACTGAAATGTTGTGTGATGATACATTTTTTAATACGTACATTGTTTTGGTAGGAAAATATGAAGGAATGAGACCACTAAGAAGACATAGGCATAGATTGGAGAATACAGTTAAAATTAATCTTAAAAGAAATCGGATGGGAGGGTGTGTACTAGATTCATCAACTGAGGATAGAGACCAATGGTGGCAGCTCTTGAAAACATGAATATGAATCTTTTGGTTCCATTAGATAAACAAACAATGGGCAGAGTTCATATGGAGAGGTTCAATCTCCAGAAATTAAACGAGGTAGAGGTTAAAGAGCAGTATCATGTTGAAATCTCAAATAGGTTCAAAGCTTTGGAAAACTTAGCCACTGAGGTGAACTTGATAGAGCCTGGGAAACTAATCAAGAGAATATCAAAATTTCAGCCAAAGAGAGTCTAGGTTATTATGAATTGAAGAAGCATAAGCCATGGTTCGATGAAGGATGCTCAGAATTATTAGATCAAGGGAAAGAAGCCAAACTGCAATGGTTACAGGATCCAAGCACGTTAAATGGTGACAATCTGAACAACAGAAGACATGAAGCCACCTGGCTTTTCAGGAACAAAAAGAGGGAATTGATGAGCTTGCAACGAACAGTAAGAACAAGAACATTAAGAGACCTGCATAGAGGAATAAATGACTTTAAGAGGGGTTACCAACCTAGAAGTAACTTAGTGAAGGATGAGAATGGTGATCTGCTTGCAGATTCTCACAACTTGTTGAATAGGTGGAAGAACTACTTCTTTCAACTATTGAATGTACGTAAGCAGGCAGAAATCCATACAGAGGAGCCATTAATACCTGATCCTAGTTCCTTTGAGGTTGATATTGCTATTGCAAAGTTGAAAAGGAATAAATTGCCAGGTAATGATCACATTCTGGCAGAACTGAATCAAGCAAGAGGTTAAATACTGTAACGTGTTTTGTCTCTAAAGACACCGTTCGGATTGTTAATTGGTTTATTTAACAACCTACAAGTGTTCTGAGTTCCATAAGCTAATTAATTCTATTTGGAATAAGGAAGAATTGCCTGGTCAGTGGAAGGAGTCTATTATTGTACCAGTTCACAAGAAGGGTGATAGAACTGACTGTAATAATTACTGTGGGATGTCACTGTTATCAGCTGCATATTCTATATCCTTCCCTCAAGGTTAAGTCCACATATAGATGAAATTATTGGGGATCATCTGTGTGAGTTTTGACATAAGAGAGCAACTAGGGATCAGACAAATCTTTTGCATTTGTCAGATACTGGGAAAAAATTGAGATTACAGTGAGACAGTACATCAGCTATTCATAAGCTTCAAGAAAGCCTATGATGCAGTTAGGGGGGTAGTATTGTACAATATCGAGATGGAGTTTGGGGTACCCATGAAACTAGTCAGGCTGATTAAAATGTGTTTAAATGAAACATATAGTAAAGTCCACACGCACATACATCCAGCAATGCAATGCACACAGCCACATAAGAAAGACACATCATAAGACAATATGTACACAATTAAAACATAAGAAGAATGACTCCCATAGCAGATGAATGGCATTACACACGAGTTTGATATACGACATGTAAGATGATAGATCTTAACAAGTTTTAATATATAAATTTTATTATTCAACAACAACAAACACACATTTTATATCATTTTATAAATGGACACTTGATGGCAGGCAGTGCAATGGTTTAACATGATTGATACACCTGAGGATGGCAGAGTGATGCCGAAACATGTAGTGTGAAGTGACAAGTGAAATTGTATACACTAAAAGACTAAATATATACACATTATGGATATAGTAAAGTCCATATAGTTAAACCTTTATCTGATAGTTTTCCTATCCAGAATGGTGTAAAATAAGGAGATGATTTATCACCACTACTTTTCAACTTTGCTTTAGAATATGCCATTAGGAAGGTCAGGAGAACCAGGTGAGACAAATTAAATGGGACAAATCAGCTGTTGGTCTATGCTGATGTGAATCTACTCGGTGATGACATAGGTACCATAAAGAAAAACACAGAAAACAGATGTTCTGAAAATGTGGTACAGTTCAGATATTTCAGAATGACAGTAACAAATTGAAACTTAATTCAGGAGGAAATAAAGAGGAAACTGGATTGAAGCGATGCTTGCTACCATTCAGTCTGGGACCTTTTTTCTTCTTGTTGTCTAAAAACAAAAATTAGAATATACAAAACTATAATTTTGCCTGTGGTTCAGTGAGTGTGAAAATTGATTTCTGATGTTGAGGGAGGAATGTAGACTGAGGGTGTTTAAGAACAGGCTGCTGAGGAGAATATTTGCATAGAAGAGAGATGAAGTGATGGGAGATAGGATGGGCTCAGGACAGGGACTAGGAGGGCTCTTGTGAACAAGGGAAAAACCTTCAGGTTCCATAAAATGCTGCAAAGCTCTTGAGTGGCTGCACAATTGGCAGCCTCTCAAGAAGGGCTCAGCACCATGAAGTTAGTTGCTAAGAATATCTTAAATATCTGAGCAGCTATTAGCTTCTTGAAAAGTTCTCAGCTATGCTGAGTTTTTAATTTCATTAATGTATCTTAAAAAAAATTATGTAGCTTATGTTAAATACAATTTTGGTTGAATTTAAGAGCAGTAACACAGTGATCATAGTTGCAAGTAGGGAGGCTAAAGCCAGACATCTGCCCCTCACCCCCAAATTTGGAAGATGGAAATTTATGTTAGTATAAAAATTTAAACTATTTTAAAACAAATGTATTCTGCATTCTGAATAGAGTAGTGTGGTCAGTAAAATTAGTCTTAAACAAATGAACATTACTTCATATGCAAATTTTCTGGCTGCCCCCATTTAAAAATGTTCTGAGAGTTGCTTTTTGGTGGATATAAAGATTACTAGAAATAAATAATCACTAAACTGCATGAAGGAAATTGGAGGAAATGCATGTTTATGCTGCAGTGTGCAGTAGCATACATTTGACTGATATCACATACCCAGAGATTGCATTGGGATATGGGGGCAGAAGTTCTTTGTTGTGGGCGACCTGACTGCAGATCCAGTTTGTGGTAACTCTTCACTGTTAGCACAGGAAGGTTTGAAGAAGCTGCCCTCCACTTGTGTGATGCAGAGGACTTTCTCCTCTGGCTGACAGTCCCAGACTTTGACTTGAACTTGTGTGACAGCAGAGCATGTGCAAGAGGGTCACCTGAATGACCATGAAAGCAAACAAATATAACAAAGTAACGTTGCTGTGATGTTTGTAATCATCAGTATTAATCATTATTATTTGTTACTCTGTTAGAGACTTAGCTAAATATATGGGTACAAGCTTATTGTGATAAGCTTTTATTATTTCCTTTGAGACATTAATGCTTGGAAATCTACAAAGCTGTGTTACATACCTGTGAATTCTGTTCCCTTATAGAAAGGTTCTGTGATAGCCTGAATATTATGTTGTTCCTGCAGGAATGCAATTATGTTCTGAACACCTTGCTCCATCACTTCATTTGGAGGAAATATGATGGGGTTTCCCAACAACTGGATGCCCCTCAGTTTTGGAACGAGTCCTGAAAATCAGAGCAATGCTTGGGGCATTCTTTTATGGCACGCCTTCTCATGGGAAGGTTGCTGAACTTTATTATCTTTTAGCTGAAAAACTCATATTCATAATTAATATTGAAAACTATGTTGAGCTAAACACATGGTGGTCTGACATCTGGGGAATCCATATTGACTATTTAATAGGAAAAGTAAACATTCTTTACAGAAAATTTGTGGAAACATGAAAGTTAACCTGCTAAACTATTTGGCCTAAGTTACCATCTCCTTTTATATTATAAATATATGGGGCTGCACATGAAAGCCATCTTCATTCCATGAAATTCTCCACAAATAAGAATATCTAACTAATTCTAAATTGTAATCAACTGTAAACAATTGTAACTATTGTAATTTTAATCTTACTCATATATTAAATTGTTAATATTCAGAATTAACTTGACTTGTCCTATATCATGTACAATGATCTACAGTGACGAAATAAATCAATCAATCAATCAATTGAAAATCAAATGTAAAACGAAACAGCATGAATTGTGTATACCTGTGTTTATCAGATTAAAAGGAGATTTTGTATGCAGTATACATAATTTAAACTGCAATGTATAACCTAGGACAAAAGAATTAGGCATAAATAGGCATAAAATTGAAGTCACACAGCAGACTCAGTTTCTGCCATCTCTATAAATAAATCTCAAAGAATACATAATAGAAAATGTGTATTATAATGTAAACAACTTTTCAGGTTGTGAAATGTAATGAAAATTGTTACTTTTAACATAGCTCTCAGTGACACTCTGCCGAATCAGCTACAAAATCAGTGGAAGCCAAATAATTTTAACATGGCCTCCAGACTCTTTCTGCCCACTCTTTATCTTGTAATGTACCTAACTCAAGTGGCAAAGCTTGTATTTGATTTCCTTGGAGAAGAAGGACCTCGAGGTTGCTGTGGTTTGCAACCGATTTTGGCAGGTTTCTTAAAAGATTGTTCCTCACGTCTAGCCACTGGAGACATGGCAAAGAAGGAAAGAAGCAGTCACTTAATTCCTGAAGAGAGTTGCCCTCCAGGTACAGGTGCTGTAAAGAGTAAGAAATGGTCCTAAGCTTCAAACAGCAATCTGTAGTATGAATTTTTCTCCTACAGGAGTGCATTATATCTTACCTTCACACACAAACACTTCTCATGAAGATATGTTGGGAATTCTTTCATGTTTCTTCGACTGAAATCAAGGAATGAGGTATTTCCTGTACAACATATTACTGTTTGTTCTTCATTCAAGTTTAAACCTGTATCTGCACTTTGTGTCTGAGAAATTTCTTCTTCCTCACAGCACACATTTTCACAGCTTATCATTTTAAATATCTATGCTGAAAATATATTGGTTGTTTATTAATTTAAATAGACTTTCGCCTCTTTTTCCAGTAACTTTTGAAATTATAAGAATGTTTAAATGAAAGTTAAGAAGAGAGGGTCATTAAAATATTTAACTTCGAATTATATATGGTTATGAACTATCAGATCACACTTTAGCAGGAGAGCTCAATAGAATTGTTCAATAACATGCAGCTATCACCATAGCAACCATAGCCTCAGAAACTAATGGGTGTAAGTAAGTGCCAGGGAGAATATGGCTGTTCATTGAAAAATGTACGAGTTTTTTTTTTTTGCACTATACTTTTTCAAGTTATGTAATAGTACTTTACAGTTTCAGGTGTATTTGATAACATTTGAAAGTAATTTAAGTGTGAGAAAGTACAAGCTATGCATACATGCACATTTAACTTTATTGAATATTATACTGTGTAAAAGAAAACATAAATAATACTGTTTACTTGTGGACATTGTCACTGTACGAGCATTATTTGTGGTACATGCAATTTATTCTTAAATATTAGGTATCGTGGTTTTAAAATTCCGCGCAAGCAATTTGGTAATGGCCGCGACGATGGTTTAGCGTTCTCTATCGGAAGAGTACTGTATTAACCTATTTAATATGGCGAATGTCAGGGATAGTGATACGTCGTTGTGGCTACATAATAAGCTTGGAACCTCTAATGATTCGTGGACAGGTGGTTCTATTTGTTCTCAACTAAATGCTGAAGTATTAAGGAATATCAAAGATTGTTTTCCGGATCTTCAAACACAAGTGAAGTTAAAATTGTTGCTTTCTTTCTTCCACATCCCGAGGAGGAACGTTGAGGAGGTTTGTTTATAATGCATACACACTTACATTAGCACCGGGATAGCGTAGTTGGTATAGCGGCTGGCTACGGGCTGGACGACCGAAGGATCGGAGTTCGAGTCCCGGTAGGGTCAAGAATTTTCTCTCTTCCAAGTCGTCCAGACCGGCTCAAGGTTCCACCCAACCTCTTATCTAATGGGTCCCGGGGTTAAAGCGGCCAGGGTGTGAAGCTGACCACTCACCTCCAGCTAGTGCCGAGCTCAAGAAAATGTGGATCTATACATCCATTCCCTATATGCTTTCATGGCATAATGCTTAATTAGTTAAGCACAGGGGCAAGTATACTTTATAAACAAGTTACATTTGCATAGCAGAGGAGAATTATTGAATAGCGGCAGTGAACCTGTTGTTTTGAAACATGTTTTTTGGTGAATGGAAATGCAGCTGAGTATTTTCGGCATTTATTTAAGACAATGTGGGTGTAATGTTTTGAAATGGGTTATTACAGTAAATTTCATTGCAGAACCCATTTCCAAAATTTAAGAAGTGAACAGCTAAGTGTTACAAATTACATTGTTTTTATTTTATTTTGTGCAGTGGCACACTGAGTTGGAGGAAATCTTGGAAGTTGCTCAGGTTGACAGTGAACAGTGGGTGTCAATGTTGGCGGAAATAATGAAGACACTTCCAGGGACGGGGTCTTTGAATACCGACATCGGTTATATTGATGATAATAGGCGCATATTCTCAGACTTGGTTAATGACCTAAGGAAACTTGGTAAGAAGGCAGTGTGGTAGTAAATCGACACTGTGTTAATGTAAGATGAAAGCATGTTTTGGTGAAGTGTGGTTATTGTGTAGTGTGATTAGTATATCTTTTATACACATGATGTTTGATTATGTATTGACACTGTTAATTGACAGGTGTCACTAGTATAAAGTTAAAGCAGATTATTTGATTATATTTTGACATTTATGTTTCTCAAAGAAGTCCAGTGTGTTAATGGGTGAAATTCTACTTTGCAGAGGCACTGAGGGAATGTTCCTGCCTCCCACCTACATTATTAGAAAGTTAATTCATTTTTAAAAATGTAACTCAAATCTAACACTAGATTTTTGTTAGTGAAGAAAATTGTAAAACATAATGTTACAGAGGAGAGGTATTCTGGCCAGTGCCTAGGTATACTGAATTTAACTGGGTGACATGTGAGGAGAGGATGTTCTAATTACAGAAATGAGACCCTGACTGCTAGACTGATAAGTTAGAGCAAAGGAAAGGGTGTGTATTGTGAAGAAGCCTCCATTCTGACTGGCTGCTGATATTATTTTATTTGTTGCAGTGAAGCGACAGTTTGATATGGAGATGTTGCCCCTTGAGTGCCACTACCTCAACAAGTCAGCACTAAGTAGTGTTGTTGGACAGCAGGTAATGCTATACCTTGGCCACCCCTGCATGTTGTATAGTTCCTGAAGCACCCAAGGTAATGCCTGCCACTGTGATTCTGTGCATAATACCAAAAGATAATCGTGTGTAACATAATGAGAAAGTGGGACATAACATAATGAGAAAGTGGGACATACAGTACAGAGGGCATGTGATATTTTATCTGGGAAACATTACTGGAAAATGTCTCATAGGAGACCAAAGGGGTGGATTGATCTTAAGGAATTAGATTGTGATAGGTGTTATTAAATCTTGTTATGTTGTTGCTGTCTGTTGCAGCCCCCACCCACAAAACATTTCACATTGAAACGTAAGCCAAAGTCGGCAGCCTTGAGGGCAGAGCTCCTACAGAAGTCTGCTGACGCTGCCAGCAACTTAAAGAAGAGCACAGCCCCGACTGTTCCAGTGCGTTCACGTGGCATGCCTCGCAAGATGACTGACACCAGTATGTGGAACTTCACACATATCTGTATATTTACCTGCCATGCCTGGGCCACTTGCATTTGGATCAAGTTTGTATCTTGAGCTTGCAGAATGTTTGTAATTGGGTTCTCAGGATGCTGAAAAACTTCTGGTGTTGTATGGCATGAAGACAGCTGCAAATGCTGAATAGATACGTGATGGAGGTAGTTGTGTTGCCTGTTTCAAGGTTGGGTCATTTCATGCCAAATGAACACAGATCACAACCCGACTCCATCAGAATTGATATTGTTTTTGTGAGATTGTAGTCCCAGTGGAGGTAAGTGTTCATTTGAGGTATCACACTTTATCTTTGATGTCATCTTATGACACTTGCTGCACACTTTATGATCACTGCATAACTGAAGAAGATTTTTGGTCATCTGAGGAAGTATATTTCTTAAATTTTTCTCTTACATTATTTTGCCCACTTTAATTGAATGGGTTACACCTCGGGTCACTAGTAGTGTGATGTGCCATGGTTTTTGTAAGCACACAGTTAATCAACAAAATATACAGCATAACATGTCTGTTACACAGAACTTGAGAAGAGAACATTTAGAACATCTGTATATCTCTAATGCCCAGTGAACACTGAGCTGTAGAGCTCGTAAGCCAGACATCCCAGACCACGTGAATGAAACCTGTTAAGGCTTGACAATAATACTGCAGACTCACGTGACTCATACCCATCATCTAAGTACTAAATGATGCAAGCCAGGTATGTCTGGACCTTCCCAACATACGCATCTAAGTAAATTGGATCTTGGCAGATATACTGTTAAAGGTATAGTTGTCCCTGTACTTAACTAATCAAGCACTATGCCATGAAGGCGTATGGGGTGGTGGACTTATAGATCCACGTTTTCTTGACCTCAGCACTATTTGGCTGTTTTCTGTAATAATTTAAAATACTTCCCTTTATTTATTTCTTCCAAGACTTGTTCAATGAAGTCTCTATGTATGGTAAATGATCTACTGACATGATTGTAAACAGAGTGTTCTTCATAATATCATGTTTAATTTACTTGAACCCAAATTAATAAATATAGAAGGTAGAGCCCCTGTAACAGGCTGTGAAGAGGGTTGTGGGATGTCGGGGCTCATGCATTTTCTATCTAGAAAATCAGTACACAGATGGCGGTGAGATTATCAGCCTTACATGCCACCAACCTTTTTTCCAAGGAAGATTCCTGGTACTTTCAGAAGGAGGCTGAGTCAAGTCTAGGGCTATATAGTGCTGCTGGAAGGATTATGTCAATTGAAAAATCCAGTGACATTGGGAACTGAACCCATGTCCTTCCCGCTTGTTGAATAGTGCCTTGACCAGCTACACTACCAAATGGTCCACTTGTAACACGTTCTTTTGAAATACTTTATATGTATTTAAATTAATAAATATAAAGTGTATAAAAGAAATGTATTGCAAGTGAAGTGACTGTTCCCAGTAGAACACTTCACAAATCCTGATACCATTTGAAGTCTCAACTTGTTGTTTGTAGGTATTCTAGATCAAAAGTCAGATTTGAAGACTCTTAAAACATAATAACTGTGCTGAAATGTATTGCTGTAATAGGTCATTGGGAAGGGAATTTTATTAACTTTGAAATGAGTGAGCTCTCTGTTTCAATTAAGGCAGGAGCTTTGCCACTTCTTCTGATACAGCTTGTGTCCAAAACCAACTTTCTTGACAATCTTGGATGTCTGATGTCCAAAATTCTAGTGGGTATATGGCAGTAAAATTTGGCAAGAATTCTTGTCTCCGTTGGGACTGTAATTCCACAAGATTGTCGTTCAGTTCTGAGGGGCTCAGGTTAGAGATGTTTCGTTTCTGTGTTGCTTAGAAAGGCTGAGAAGAGAGCAGTAAGGAAGTTAAGATGGATTCTGTCCTAGCCCACCCTCCTCACATAAGGCAGTGAGTGACAAGAGAAAGTAATCAGGAGGTAATTAATGTGATACAGTCATTTGTCATGACAGCACAAATTATTTTTTTGTTGATTTTTCACAGTGGCATTAACCCTTGAAAACATGGTGGTAACTAGACATACCACCACTTGCTGTAACACTATAAGCTGCACTTATGTGTTTTATATGTTTTTAAATGATTCTCACATGAAACGCTAATTACTTCCTTGAACAGCATGAACTGACTGATTATACAGCAGGAATTGCATTTTTAGATATTTAGATAAATTTTGAATCTTCATAGTTAAAACTTGATTTGTCATTGTCCAGTGGTCAAAAATGGCCTGGCATTTGGCACATCTGTCTGTAAGCTGATGGTGGTGGTGCTGGTGATATCATCCAGAGTCATATTTATAACTTCTAGCTCCCTAATTTCTTACAGCCCCTCTGAAAGGCATTCCAAGTCGAGTACCTGCAGGAGGATTCCGTTCACCTCTGAACAGCCCATCTATTTCTCGTCCCCCCATGTCAAGAACGCCAGCGGGGAGGAAAGATGGTGGCATCAAACTTCTGGATATCAATGAACAGCCTCTGGGCTATGCACAGGCGAAAAAGAGGAAGCGTATGCAAGGTCAGTGTTCTCATGCAACGAAGCAGCAAAGTGATGATATCAGTACAGCAGCTTTCAAGGATACCAGTTGCACTTCATTTGATTCATTCATGTTTAAATTAAAATTCTGTGCTGTATGTCAGTAATCGTTAGTAAACCATTTCAGTATTATTTTCTCTGCAATGGATGTTGCCAAAACAGACTTTAAAAGGAAGCTGGTGCCCTAGATTTTGTTTTGATTTAAACAGCTAAAGGGGAATTTGTTGCCATGATTTGGAAGCTATAAATGAAGCTGACTATAAGTATGTTGTTTGAGGTGCTGAAAAAGTAAGTGCTGTGCTGTAATTGGCTCTTGAAATCAGATTCTCAGAAAGGTACAGCAGAGTTGGAGTATACAGGATACTTGTAGGTTGGCAATACTGTGTGTTGATGTTTCAGAGCTTGAGGAGGCAAAGAAGGCATCGGAGGCAGCAGCAGCTCAGCAGCTACTGCAACAGAACCAGCAGCTTGGAGCAAGTCAGAGCACCCCAGACTATGCTGTGGGGCTTACTGCCATGAACCCTCCAACACCAGCACCAGCCACTCCCTCCTACAGTCCTGCCACCCCACAACATACTGTCACAACCATCATTACAATACCCCGGGATGCTGCAGGTGAGGGCCCCTTCCTGTCTGCTTCCAGTATGTCACCAAGTTTGTGTGTGGGACATCCTCAGTCATACATTCTGTGATAACATTTCAATTTGGGAGTTACATTACTGCCTGCAATGCAGTGTGCTCTCCTGTGGGATGTATCACACCTGCTAGCCTAACTTCAGTTGTAATTTTGTGTGTGTGAGTGCACTCGTGATTGCTGTACTCGTTAAGGCAATAGTTGTAATGTTCCTGCCCACAGCACCTGGCACACCAGCAAGTGATGTGGCTGCCCAGGGACAGACGCTGCTGGTCGCCACAGCCCCAGGAGCTACCACTGCCCCAAGCTATGTTCCACTGGTGACGCCTACAACTCTGCAGGTCAGTGTTCATCAAGCTTACCATTTCACACCCTCGCACCTGCTTTATTATTTATTATCTTCTTATCTGTATCTTTTGCCCCTTTCTTTGCTATGGTTTTTAGATTTGGGGTGCAGGGATACCCTCCTCTCTGGATTGCTGTTACAGACAGCAGTTTTTTTGTCAGTGTATATTCAGTGATTGCTTGCTTCAACCATTGTCTTGCATTTGTTTCTCCTTGCCTTACTTAGTCTCCCAATATATTGTCTTCATTTATATCCATATTTAAAGCTGCCATCCATGTTGCATCATTTGCATTTCGATCTTGCCGTCTTCCCTGTATCACATAGACCCTTCCGCTGTTCTCTGCCCTACTGCTTCCATTTAAAAGTCCTTTATTGTGGTCCTGTTAGCCCAGTTTTTTATAGTCATATAAATATATTGCATTACTGTGTTAGATGGGGTGAGATCATTTTAATTTTTACTACACCCTGCATTTAAGAGGATCAGATGCCTTTTCCAGGCATCTTGTCTAAGCTGTTTCACTGGCAGTTTCTTTGGCCTTTCCACCACTTAGTCTAATGTGCATTGTAGTAGGTAAACACCATGGAGCTAAGTTCTTCATGAGAAGCCAGCAGTCGCACACCCACTCAAGGAATTCAGCATTCTCTGGAACCCAGAGGTTCATCGTTACTGTGTTCACACTTGTGCTGTATTAATCTGTGACTCCCCCAACTGCTGTGCTCTCTAAGATTAAGGACATGCAGGCTGCGGTAATATGCGCCATAGTTGGAGCACCTCACAAAGGCAGCCATAACAATTCATTGATAAGAAAATTACAGTAGTAAATATGTTTACTGGAAAGTAAGATGGTGTGTTTTGCCATTTCACCAAGACTGTTGTTAGGTTTATATGTTTGAGCCAGTTTTCCAGGACAGGTCCACAGCTGGAAGCCTTCTGCCACCTGCCCTTTACAGTCTTTGGCTCCTCTAGTAGTTTGCATTTGGAAGCTAAACATAGCAGTGCTTCTGTACTTTCCTATGCCAGTTGTCTGTTTAGCATACTTTCTTTGTTTTGAAAAAAAAAAAATAGATTTATGAAGTCAGCTTGCTGTCTTTGTATGTTTCTCCCTAACAACTTTTGAATGTCTGTACTGGTCTTCATAAAAACTTGGTATGTGCATCATGGCACCTGACACCATCTCAGTTGCATACTTTATAAATCCAAACCATCAGGAAGACCACAGCCTCCAAAATTGTTGAGGTAATAACAACCTTAATAATATTGCTTCAGTGCCTGAGTCGATCATCATGAAACTTGGTACAAACCATGCTGTATGATTCAGCAGCATGTCCCACAAATACGTCCCCATTCAGGAATACCAACATATTGTAGTATTGTAAGATTTGAGGCTTTCATGGTGGTGACTATGAAGAAAGCAGTCTTCTGGGATTTGGCACCGTGTATATGTGGTGTTAACCGACGTTTCGGAGGAACGTATCACCTCCATCTTCAGGGTAGAAGGAAAAAATAAGAAATCCGCAAGCGAAGAGACAGTGAGAACCGGTAAAAGCAGTCTCTGAAACGTCGGTTAACACCACATATACACGGTGCCAAATCCCAGAAGACTGCTTTCTTTGTTGTTGTATTGTTTTTTTATTGACTTAATTGTGTGCATGTACATGCCATTGTGTTTTTTTCTGCTTGTTTAGTCAGATACACAATTGTAGTCAAAGTAAAGTATGCAATTCATCTGAAAACTTCTTGTTCCTTTGATTTCTCACAAATTAATCTGCAGTTTGCAGGAGTGAGTGTGGAAATGAAAAAAGATATATGAAAGAGTTATAGATCGCTTGTGGAGTTCTTTAGTGTCTTTAAACCTCCTGAATTGTGTGTATTACAGGATGCCTATTGTAAGACCTAAGACATATCTGCTTAATAGTTTCATCAGTGTAATGATTTTCACTGTATTTGACAGAGTCCGGTAACCCCACAGTCATCACTGTCACTCCAGACTTCAGCTGGCATTGTCACCACCCCAGTGGTCACAGCAGTTCAGACTCAAGCTGCAGCCACCACACCCACCAAACAGGTCATTCAGATTCGACCAGCACCGCAGGTCACTCAGATCAGAATCCACCCAGTGAATGCTGCTCCAGGAAGTAATAACACACTTCAGCGGAAGGGTCTGTCCCTCACAGTGAGTGGATATGTGTTTCTTATTGGTTGTAACGTAGTAGGTATCTAGACGCAGTGGTTTGTTTGTGGTTAAGCTCAAAACATCTGGCTGTGGCTTGAACTTGATAATATGTTTAAAAGTTTGTTCTCAGCCTTACTAATGCAACTATTGTAGTGTTTCAGCAGTCACATGGCTGTTACCATCGTTACATTTTTCATATACTGTTCATATGAAGGGGGACCCAAAAATAACCGGAACCGACCTGTTGCGTGCGCATGCTTTGTAGTTACGAGTTGTGCTGCTAGGTGGTGTTAGCTGGGGGTCTCCCGCAACTGTTAGTGTGCTGGCGTCAGTCTGAGTTAAGTGGTTTGTCTGTGGTGCTCTGTTGTGTGCGTTCCTGTTTCAACCCTTTGGCGATTAGTGAGATGGCCGACCAGAAGGAACAAAGAGTGTGCTTGAAATTTTGCTTGATGAAGATCGTCAAAAGACCATTGACCAACTTTCTGAGGAAACGAACATCTCATGGAGCACGGTCCAGCGAATTTTAACCGAAGGTTTGCACATGAGACGGGTGTCTGCAAAATTTGTTCCTCGCTTGCTCGGAGATGACCAAAGAGAAAACCGCGTGAATGTTTGCCGCGACTTGAAGAGTGAAGTGCAGAATGATCCAGAATTTCACGCACACTCTTTGTTCCTTCTGGTCGGCCATCTCACTAATCGCCAAAGGGTTGAAACAGGAACGCACACAACAGAGCACCACAGACAAACCACTTAACTCAGACTGACGCCAGCTCACTAACAGTCGCGGGAGACCCCCAGCTAACACCACCTAGCAGCACAACTCGTAACTACAAAGCATGCGCACGCAACAGGTCGGTTCCGGTTATTTTTGGGTCCCCCCTCATACAGTGTGTTTCAGCTTTACGAAGCTGTCATTACTCAGGTGCACAGTTGCTTCACTGCATCAGTTCTCTCTTGAGGGTGGCACCAGGTAATTAAATTAAAATTAAACTAAAAGTTAAATTTGATAGGGGTAATCAAAGGTTTTGGGGCATGCATTAGCGTAGTTGATTGAGGCACTATGCTACAAGCTGGGAGGTTGCGGGTTCAAGTCCCGATGATGTCATTGGATTTTTTTTAAATTGACCCAATCCTTCCAGCTGCACTATGGCCCTGGGGTTGACTCAGCCTCTAACAGAACTGAGCACCAGGAATATTTTTGGGGGTAAAGGGCGGCTGGCGCATAGGGCTGACGACCTTGCCGCCATCTGTGAGCCGATTGTCTAGAAAATGTGGGAACCTCAATATCTCACAACCCTATGGGCTTCCAAGGCCTGTTGCAGGGATACCTTTACTTTTTTTTGATCAAGGGTTTCACTTTTTCATTTTTTGGAGATGAATTTTTTGGAGATACACATTTTAGTTTTGTTACTGGTGTTCTCTGTGTACTGATGTTTTTCAGTGGATGCAGTTGCANGGCCCTGGGGTTGACTCAGCCTCTAACAGAACTGAGCACCAGGAATATTTTTGGGGGTACTCTTAATGTAATCTTAATTTCATGAATTGGTGCCTCCCTCAGTAGGGAAATGATGCAGTGAAGAAGCTTACAGATAGAATACTGCTGAAGCATATTGTACGAGTGGTGAAACATTGTATGAAAAGTGAGTTTTTGCCAACAGCCATGCAACCATCGAAACACTGCAGAAAGTTGCATTAGTAAGACTGAGAATAAAGGTTAAGTGATCAGTTGATATATCAGGATGCTTAAATATAGTATTATTCATAATATGTTATTGGATTATGTATTTAATGTATGTATTTCTTTTTACAGAGAGAACAAATGCTGGAAGCTCAGGAAATGTTCAGAACTGCAAACAAAGTTACTCGGCCAGAAAAGGCTCTCATTCTCGGATTTATGGCTGGATCCAGGGGTGAGTATGCCTTGTACCACATTAACATAGTGCCCGTACATATGCTTTCATGGACCAGATGGAAGGTGGCTTTTAGAATGAATGTGATGTAGTGAACCAGTTAGTTATTACTGATATGTTTACATATTTTTAAATTGGTTGCACTCAGTTCTGCAGAAATACAGAATTATTGTACATAATCCATGTGTCCCCTCCATAATAACTTTCGATTAAATTGGTCCCTTCTTATTCAACTTATTATTGTTGGGACTCTTTATCAGTCTCAGGATAGAGACCAGTGGAGGCGGGCTTTTGTGGATATAATGAACCTTTGGGTTCCTTAAAATACTGGGAAGTTCTTGAGTAGCTGCACAATTGGCAGCTTCTCACTCTTGGTTTTGGGGGCCTGTCAGATCTTGTGACCATATTTTTCTGTCTCTTACTTTCTTGGGATTTATTGAAGGTTGTTATATCTTAGCATCCTGTTACACTGATTCATGTCCATGGTTTAGGCTGACCGTCTTACAGTGTATACACTTTTTCACCTTATTCTTCACTTTCACACTACATGTTTCGGCACTAATGTGCCATCTTCAGGTGTCTTTATGCACGTTAAACTATTGTACTGCATGCCATAATGTCTTCATTCTAACATGATTAAAATCTGTATTCATCATATCATTAGTCATTTTACGATGAAGACATTATGGCATGCAGTACAATAGTTTAACGTGCATAAAGACACCTGAAGATGGCACATTAGTGCCGAAACATGTAGTGTGAAAGTGAAGAATAAGGTGAAAAAGTGTATACACTGTAAGACGGTCAGCATAAACCATGGACATTATTGAAGGTTGTTTATATATGTATGTATGTATGTTGCAGATAACCCATGCCCACATTTGGGTAACATTGTGACAATAAAACTCAGTGAAGACCAAGAGACAGTGTTGCAGCCAGATGACACATTCCTGACAACGACCATTGAGACTCACTTTCAGATGAACTACAATACTGGAGAGTGGAAACGCATCAAGAAGCCACGCAAGATGGAAGACCCAGCTGCTGTGACACCTGCATCCACTCCTCTTCCTGCAGCATCTGCGGCTGCTACGTAGAAGAAAGCTTAGTAGGTATGGTATGTGTGCAGTATATAGTCTGTAGTTGTAGTAAGCAGTATGTATGCAGATGCAATCAGATGCACACATATGACATAAAGATCCTCTCTGAAGTTATGTCTGTTGGAGGTCTTACTCCAATGTTAGATGTGCCAAAGTTTGCAGAAGAAGTAGCAGAAATATTGATCACTAAGCTTTTTGGTGATGTGTGACAACAGTCTATTCCGTTAAACAGAGTGGGCGAAAGTGCAGTCTTTTTGTTGACAAGTTTACTTGTATTGTGTCTACATGAACATTAGGATGAGCTGCCAGAACTTGTAAGCTTGCACCCAGTGCTTGTTTACAAATGAAATATATGTATGTATATATAGATATATATCCAAATTTTTTTCTTAATATTAAGAGGAACGAATGATTCTGTGATCTGGAATGAGTTGGCTGATAATTTAAATAGACTACAGTATGCCACCATACATCGTTACTCATCACTTTTTTGAGCTACATTTATCATTTATGTTACTCATTATAGTAAAGCTTCTGGGAGCGAGTACTGTCTGAATTGAACCCAGCAAACAAATCGTTAAATTTGAATTAAATTATTTTTGTGCAATTAATTAGTAAATTACATTTTAATATAAGTAAGATGGTTGTTATATATTATATTTCTGAAAACTGGGAATTTAATTTCATTCGTTTTGATTATTGAAATACTCTTTGAGAAGAATTAATTAAACATAACAACATTGTAGTTTTCCATAAGTTGGCTGCCTTGTGCAGTTCAGTGGTTCCACATGAGTGGACCAACGCTACTACAACTAAAGATTTAGTTGATGCGTTGTACAGTTATGATAGCTAAGTTTCTCTTTGTTACATTGTGTTTTTCACACATCACAATGCCAAAAGCAATCAGTCATTGGAAAGAAAGAAGAGTGACTGAAAGTACATAGAGAGAAGTGACTGCACATCTTATAGAAACTCACTGTAGTAAAAGTCAAGAGTTTCAATACATTATTATTAATTTCTCCTGAATGCGTAAATGTAATTTTGCAACAAACAGTATTCCTAAAGGCTGAAATTATAAGCATAAAAGTTTTGATTCATGGTACCATTTTTTACATGTTTTCCGGTCTAAAAAAAACAGAAATTAACGGGTGTGGGGATTCGTTGCGCTGACCATGCGACACCCACTATCCGCTAAAGTTGGCCATCCTCAGGGTTCTGAATTTGTAAAAAGGTTCATAAGTCCAATGTTTATCGTTTTTGTTACTCAGTAACATGTTGCATGTATCTAACCTGTGTAATAGGCTGTGAACAAATGTACCACATCCATTCTGTGAAATCTGGTAATATTTTCTTGCAGATCTGTGAAGTTTTGTTCAAAAAATTCCCAAAATGAGGGCGCAGAGGAGTGGTGCATCGGTCAAATTAGGTGTTGTTTGAGTGACCTTGCAACCTGACCATTAACTATGCAAGTCATTTTGTTCCAAGTAGACCGTACGTTCTGTTTAGTTTTTATAGCCAGTGTGTTGTCACGTTCAGTATGGAGTCAGTAAAGGAGCAAAGAATTTGTGTTAAATTCTGTCTCAAAGTGGGGAAAACCAGCTGCAGAAACCCACAGCATGTATGAAGCTTTCAGTGATGATGCCTCGAGTCAGATGAGAACCTATGAATGATCCAAACATTTTAAGAATGGTGTAGCTGTCCTTGAGCTTCAAGACCCAAACATCTTATTGTCTGGGTGAAAAACATCTTGGAAATTGTCGACCAACTGTCTGAAAAGTTGCAGGAGAGGTTGAAATATCCGTTGGTGCATTCCATACAATTTTAATTGAAGATAGGAATGAATTGGGTCTTAGCAAAATTTGTGCCAGACTGATGATCTCCAAAATCTCCTCCAAAAAGAAATTATGAAAATCTTTTGAATAATATCATTCCCAATGACGAGACGTGGGTTTGTAGTTATGACAACATTCCTCACTGAAGAGCAATGCTGCAGCTTGCCTTTTTAAAAAATTGAGGCATTGTGCATTATGAATTCGCTCCTGAAGGTCAGACAATTAATGAAGATTTTCATGTGGTGGTTCTGTGTCTGAGGGATGTGATACAAAGAAAACGAGCTGAAATGTGGACTGCGGAAGCTGGCTTCTCCATGAGTGTGCCTGCTCACACAGTGTTTGTCAGTTAGACGGCTGTAAGCAAAATATTCAATTCCTGCCCACCAACAACCCCCCCCCCAATTCACCTGGCCACCCCTCCTGACTTTTTCTATTCCATAAACTCAAAATTACCCTTAATGGAAAGAGTTTGGGCATTGTAAGCCATCATTACTAATGCCAATAGGACAAGAATGGAAGACGTGATGAAACTCACAATTGAGAAGTTCACTTCAGTCAGCAAAGATAGAAACTCAGATGTAAATATCTACTGAATCTCTTCTCTATGAAGGCTAGAAGATTGTGAGTGAATGGCAGTTACGGCAGAGGCAGAGAGCATTGTGAGACCGCTAGGTTATACACCCAGTATCGTGGGTAGCTCTCTGCTAATGTGGAATGTTACACCAAACAATAGTGTCTGGCTGCTTTGGTGCAGTGAAAATTGCCTACTCTATAATGCTATAGGAAATCTGCAGTTATTTTCTGCACATACTGAATATTGCTTAAGTCTGGCAGCTGTTCGTCATTAGATGAGTGGTTGTAGACCACGGTGTTACAGTGAATGTTGCTGAACCTGTTTTCCCATATATTCCCTAACGTGCTGGCCAGAAGCCAAGAACAACATATTGTCTGTCACATGTTGGGTATATCACGCAACAAATAACTTCATGCCATCAAGGATGTAGCAGATATTTGTTGTGCTTTGATTCTACACTCACCCTTTACAATTACTATTACTTGCAGTATCAGAACTACTTCCTCTTCTTCACTGCTTATACTGCCTTCTGCGGCTGCGACATCTCAACTGTCTTCAACTCCGACTATATCAAGACTGTCTCGGTGAATGCCTTACCTTCTCTGTCTGTGGCCGTTCCTGTGCAGTGAACCTTCTGTTGTAACTGTGGAGACTCACTGTTAGAATTACAATACTGCTATTGTTACTTCCTATGGAACGGTCTGTTCTAGCGTTTCCATGGAAGTAACCCTTCTGGATTCCGAACACGTGACAATATTATAAAACTCTCTTGTATCAGATGGCATAAAGATACCAACAACATAACTAAGATTGGTAGAAGGTCAAGAAATAGACCATTAATGTAGAGTTCATGCATCGTGGAACAAGCTACTGATGTTGCATGGTCTGTGTAGTTACTTTAAGTCTCTGTCATTGCTCCTTTGTGCCTCCATGCTGTATATGTGATGTTGACTGCCAGCATTATACATCAGCAGTCTGCTCTGCACTACCTGACATCATTAATTAATTCACCTCTGTTCTGTTAAGTGAGAAGGGAAACCCATCCTGGGACCACTGTTCAGATAATATTCTGGCTGGTTGGGCCTGTCACTCATCCTGGAATGGTGAGAGTTGAGTCTCTAACATCAGCAGCAGATCGGCAACTGACAGGTGAAAACTGAAGTGTACTCCAGTGTCGCCATCCCATTGAAAATCCCTTGGAGAATGTTTGGTGAGAAGCTGACGACTAAAGGCCAGAGCTATGGTATGGCGATGCTGGATAATTTTCCCTACCAGTATATTGATTTTGATGATTATCAGAATCATAAATAATGCTGTCCTCAACATGCACCCCTGATTTTCAAACAGTAATTTTAGGAAAGAGTGTGTGTGTCTGTGTGGGTGTGCACAGGATATTCAAACAAATACAGTACTTTGCTTCTTTGTGTCATGGGAAGGTGCCTCATCCACCCTCATACACTCTCAGCATCCCCATGAGCCAGGTTACAAAACTGTAAGGATTTTTGACACCCCAAATTATAGTATCAGTCTGCTGCTCAGTTTTTTGCTTTCTAATTGGTTTGGTCCATCTGGAAGAATTGTTAAGATTGTTCCTTTTTCTGGTATTATTTTGGCTCAGAAATATAAATGTTGATGTTTGAAGTTCTCTCTGCAGAGTTGGTTCCAGCCATCTGTGACAGCAAGTCACAAGGTTGGCATGTAAAGGGCACATCTGGGGACAAACAGCTGATATACACATAGAGTCATGTGTAGCAGCTTCCTAAAGCAAACTGAAATAGGAAGAGCAGGAAATATGTGGACAGGTCTGCCTACTTTAGAAGCTTTGAAAGTGATAGCACTGTTCTGTATAGTTTATTCAAAGAGAAAAGACTAGTTATGGCTGAAAACATTTTCAAAACATTTCAGAGTCTTTCAGATCAAAATGTAGTACACAGTTTGCATATGCCAAACTCACTGGCTGAGGAAGTTTTCCACATGCTGCAGGTAACAAAGTGCTTCCTATCTTCACCTGCACTCTTAAGAGTGAGAGGCCTTACAAACTGCAAGCAGCAGTAGTACTGACCAGTGAAATTGTGGGGAGGATTTGCAGAGAGAAAGTCTTGAACTGGAATGACCATTGCACACATTGAGTTTTGTGTCTTCATACCAGCAGGTACAGCTCATATCTCTCATTCCTCTTGATAAAACAAAAATTTTAGAAATGTAATACACAGCTTCATCCTCTATTAATGTGGCTTGCAGGATGGAACTTATTGACAGTGCAGCCTGTATAAACAGTATTCAGTGTGTGATTGAAAGGTGAAGGTAGTGATCATGTGCAGCCATTCTGTATAGCAGTTGTGAAGCCAAGTTAACCTACACCATGGATGTAACTAAGGCTGTGCATATTGTAGACCTTAACTTATATACATGTGAGTAGTAAACTTCACGCTGTGGCAGGTTCACACTGGTGACAAGAGACTGACTGGGTCTCAACTGCATTCTCTTTGTATCTTTTAAAAATCCACCATTACCTCCTTATATGGAAACATTTTATCGTAGAGACACGTTGATAGGAGAAGGTGGATTCTTGTGAGGCTCTTCTAACAGCAGTGGCTGTGAAGGCAACTGTTTCCTGAACTGCAGTGTCATGTATTCTGATAGAAGTTTACCTGTATTTGGAGGACTGTGCTGCTTCTGCCTTCAGAATAAAAGAGTACCTGATGTGAGGATGGAGGCAGCAAGTCCCTTTGAAACATTGATGAATTTCTACCAGACTACATACACACTGTCACATTTTGGAAGACATTTACTCTTAAAGTGATTCTTGGTCTGTTCCTGTATTCTGTATAAATTGGTGAGACCAAGGTTTTGGTATTGAATGTTATTCGTCAGCAAGCAGGTTTCACTGTGTGGTCCTTCAGACAGAGACGCGGCTTATCCCTGGAGTGAACCAATCAATATGTATATATGTATGTATAATGTACTTGTATATTTGAGGCTTTCCATTTACAGATGGGCTTGCAGTGCCCATTTAGTTTTGTACTTCCAGACTCCTCAAACTATTTATCTTTCTTGTTATAAAAACTTGTTTTATTTGACAAAAATAAAATTGTTGCTTTCTTTAGAGAAATTAGAACAGTCTGTGACATTAGCCCTTCATATCCTGAATGTATATCTTCCCTCACATTCCATCTTTAACACATGGTGCTCACATCCCTCTTGGGGAACACATGTAACACTGAAGTGCTGCATACACAGTCCTTTTTGAAGGGTCAGATCTGGCTTCCTGAAGTGTGAGAAGAATATGCATGCCAAACTTGAATATGTTTTAAGTGAAAAATGGACATGGATATGAAGAGACTGTCAATTAGTGTTACTGTACAGGGCCCTTGTTACTGTTAAAATTGTATGGCTTTGACTGCAGCTAAAAATTATTTACTGTAATTCTTATCAGTTCCTTTGTGTTTCTGTTTAGGTAAGATATTTAGAAACCTGTTTTGTGTTATTTATAATACTGAATTGAGATAGTGAAATATACAGTTGAACGGCAGGTATTTTGTGATACTTGTATAAAAACTAAATCAGGTAAATAGATTTCACTATGAGTACTGTGATGTCCAAATTCCAGCTTCATGAATGATTTTTGAAGGTGAAGAAAGCATGTTCATATGGATCTTTCTTTGACAAAAAATTTGCTTGACAGAACACGGTGCTGCTAACCAAGGAAAAAGACTGATGTAATCGGAGCCAGATTAGAACATTTTTTCGCCTTGTAAATATCTGTAACAACAACAGTACAGAGAGCAACTAAGAAGTTACATTTATAGCTGTATAAGGTTGGACAGGTTCAAGCAGTTGAAAAAGGTGGTTGTGGGAGAAGAGTATATTTTTTTGTAACTGGTTTTTATGAGCTGTATGACACTGTTCACGACCCAAAACTTGTATTTTGAACTGAAGAAGCTTGGTTCCATCTCAGTGGGTATGCCAGTCTTCAGAACAGCAGGTATGGGAGCAGTATTAATCCAAGACAGACTTTTGAAATACCCTTCACAATCAGAGAATTGGTTTGAGGTGTGCTTTACTGCCACCCAAACAGTACAAAGTAAAGTAAAAGTAAAGCTGTCCCTGTGCTTAACTAATTGAGCACTACATCATGAAGGTGTAAGGGGGCGTGGATATACAGATCCACATTTTCTTGACCTCATCACTAGCTGAAGGTGAGTAGTTAGATTCACGCCCCAGTCACTTTACCCCTGGTGAAAGAGCCACTGGTAACCATTGGATAGGAGGTTGAGTGGGCCCCAGAGGTGGTCTGGACAACATGGAGAAGAGAAAATTTTTGACTCTACCAGAACCTGAACTCTGACCCCTCAGTCTAGCCTGAAGCCAGTTACTGTACCAACTATGCTATCCCAGTTCCTACCACTCAAAGTAGGATGCATGTTTTGTGAGTGGACTATGTATGCCAATGACATTCGTCCTTTGAGGGGGAAGTATTACAGAAGAACATTATGCACTGATAATTATTCTGTTAATGTTTTAGACAAAGTGTTTGAAGACACACTGATAAGTTTCAGAGTGTGGGCTCCAAATGGTCCTCCAGACTTAAATTCTTGTGCTATTTATCTGTGGTCAAACTTCAGTGTCTTCAAACAGTCCCTCACAATTATGAAACACTTACTTCTGTTGAGGTCAGTGAACTGTAACTACTGTAAATCTTTTAAGAGAGACTTGAAACATAAAGGAGACATTTTGAACATCTACAGTGATGGCAAATTCTGAACAATTCATTTACTTAAGAAATGCATATCTGTGTTTATAGTGCAAGGCAGACCAGCCACCAGTCTAGACTCCATTTGCTTGAAAGATGACAACTAAGGTTATGTCTGGCCAGTGGGTTTATTTATGATAAAGACAGGTAGTTTTCTCCTTGAAGGACTCTGTATAATGCATTCTTCATCTGGTATATTTACGGTGATTAAGAAGAAATGCTCAGAAAATATGATTACAATGTCCCATGGGAAGAGAATTTGGTGTAGACAGAAAGTTACTGTGCAGTGGGTTTGATGCATGCAAGGACAACTCGACTGAATACATTTCTTGTCAGGTGAATAATACCTTCTGAAGTATTGTTTATTTTACCAAAGACTTTTACTAGTTATTAATTGAAAATTAACAATATGCATCTTAATGAACATTGTGTCACTGATAGTTGAAATTGAGGTTCTCACAATAGTAACTTGAGTGCTGTGTAGTCTGGAAGTCCAACATTAAAAGAGACATACTGCCACCATCTTCAGGGTGAGAGCATAAGCCAAGCAAGAAAGCAGCAGAAGCATGTAGCTTACTCTTTGACCCTGAAGATGTAGGTGGTATATCCCACTGAAATGCGGGAATCTCTCCAAATTATAGTCCAGCCAGTTATACTTTTCAACTGACTAATATGTTTGAGAACATGATGTAGTTTACAAATTTCATTGAAGAAACCCTAAGTAAACTGAATTCCGTTAACAGATTTGGGTTTCACTATAATGAATTTTATGTCAACAGTTCTCCTTGGTCGTTTTTCATTTTCAAACTTTGAAAGGGACTGTTAAAATATGGTAATTTATGAAGAATGCTGTCGTCTGGGATGTGGCACTGTGCAGAGCTTGTGTGAACTGAAGTTTTGGAGAAACGTATTGTCTCCATCTTCAGGGTAGAAAAACCCATGAGCGAGGAACCAGCGTGAGCAGGTGGTCGCAGACTGTTGAATGTGTCGATCAGTAGCCTCCCCATAGAGGAACACTGTGTAATATTTGAGGTTTGCACAGCGGTGACTATGAGGAACGCCATCTTCTGGAATGTGGTGCTGTGTAGACCTCATGTGAACCAATATTCCAAACATCAGTTCACACAAGATCTACTCGGTGCCACATCCCAGACGATGGCATTCTTCATAGTCACCACTGTGAAAACCTCAAATCTTACATATGGTAAATTTATATTCAGATAAATTTGACTTTTGTTGCATTTCCCGCTGTGAATGTACAGAAATTTAAAATTAAAACAATTTCAGTATTTTGCTACAGTGTTAGAAAGGGAAACTGCATATTCAGTTTCTCGGCCATGTACTTTAATCCCCTCCAAAGGAAATTGCATGTTACCTCCTAAACTTACCTTTTCTTTTCAATTTCTTGATTTTATGTTACATGGTTTGAATAGCCTGAGATTTTTTTAATCGAATTACAAACCATGGACTGTACTTCAAATGAATTTGATGAGCTTTGAAAAATTGTCGCCTATTTTGATGTTATATATTCTCCCTTACTGCTTATTGAGAGGTTATGTACTTTTGCCTATATTCAATGAAGTACTGAATTTACAGAAGTGAAAAAATAAATCATGGGGTGGAGTAAAGCCTTTGGTTCGTGGTTTGATCATTATAGAATGTTTACAAAATGTTTTATAACTTGTGGTGTGCAGTGCGTACGCTTTGATGGAATTGACTGGCTGGAGGTGGTTGGAGGGACTCCACACTACTTCTCAGAAAGTCTGCTAGCAGTGGGAATCGAACCCGGACCTCTAGATCTGTAGCCAGGAACTCTGACCACTAGACCACAGAGGCAGTCTAGGTTAATATTCATGGCATGGATATTTCAACATGGTAGGGGAATGTTGGAGGGTGTGGTTTGTTCCTGTTTCATGACCATTATGCATGTAGCTATTTTTTTTTTTTTGCTAGTGGGGTGGGACTAAGTCCCTTGTACTGCGGCCACTTCTGGCCTATTGTACCAGCCCCAGATGATAGGTGACGGTGATTGCGGAATGAAGATTGGCAGGAGAAACCGAAGTACTCAGAGAAAATCTGCCCCAGCGCCACTTTGTCCACAAATCCCACTTGACCAGACCCAGGATCGAACCCGGGCCGCCGTGGTGGGAAGCCAGTGACTAACCGCCTGAGCTATGGCACAGCCCATGCATGTAGCTAAGTGTAAACTATGCCACATGTGCCATGGGGCAAGACTTCAGAATACAATGATGTTCAGAGTGGATGATTTTTTAGGCAGAGTAAAATTTCAATCAGCCAGAGGATAAGGTGCAGTTTTACGTTTTGAAGTTTGATGAAAATAGTGTATTGGCTGAGGTTTTGTTGTGACACAACAGGCAAGGTTGAGTTGATACATCAGAATTCTCCATCATGCTTCTTTAATAGTTGGACAGTCTTAGTATGCTGTCCTAGCCGCCGAATTTCTCACCAACATCACGAGTACACTTGTCTTTTTATTCTGAGAATGTGCCAATATGTATTTATTGCTTATTTTATGATGTTGCCAGCAACACGTCAATGGGATGATTAAATGAATTCATTAATTGGAAAGTATGTGGAAGGAAATGACTGTGGACTATATGAGCATTTCAAGACCACCTGGAGTTCGCATTGAGGGACTGAAGGAAACTTTGAAAACATTGGGATAATCTGTGTCCTGACAGATTCAGACATGGAGAAAACTGCATAATGAGGAGCTTCATAACTTGTGCTTATATAATTAAAATTGTTAAATCAAGTAGGGTGAGATGGGTTAGGAGTTTAGCATGCATGAGGGGAGAAGAGGAACACATATATGATTTTTGTGGCAAAGCCAGAAGGAAAGCGATCACTAGAAACAACTAGATGGATATAGCAAAATAATAGTAAAATGGAATCTTAGGGAAATAGAATGGAGCTGTTTGGACTGGAATGACCTTGGCTCCATAAAGTGCTGCAAAATTCATGAGTGGCAGCTTCTCAAGAAGGTGTTGAGCCAATTTTTGACTTGCATTTGGGAAGTATGCTGATCAAATCTTGGCCAGGACACCAGCTATGCTGACTGATGTTTTCTGTGGTTTTCCTCTGCCCCCTCAAAGTAGTCCATGACCATTTCCTTACAGATCATTTCCAATTTGTTATCGACCAATGAGCGTGTGTATTGCACAGTATCATCTGATATACTGTTGAAAAATAAACCACAAAATAAATTATATTTTGAGGCACATCTGTCACATTGCTATATGCCGCTATTGTTTGAAACAGTTTGAACTCTGCAACTTTCCAACATTATTAGCATTACCTGTGTTGCCAAGCACCATAGTATGCTACATCTGATGGTAAACGTAGGCTGACAATAGGAAACATACATATGCAGAATCAGAATTATGTATAGAAATCTTGTGTGGACACAACTAAATTGACTATTGGCCATTTTGTGCAGTCCATAATGATAAATAAATAGTGTCTTATATGGGTACATGTATGTATATGTTTATTACAGCAGTCCAAGATGTGTGTATTAATGACACTGCAGTCTGTACATATCCAATATGTAGGTGGCATTCAGTCTGAACCAAGTTCAATGAGTTGTATCAGCACCTTGCCTGATAGGTAATGGACTAGAACAGGCAGCACACTTGTGACTGCTGAATAGTTTAGTGATGTCTCCTCCACAATGAAACATGTGTTTCTGCCCAGAAGTTGTTCTCCTCATATTTGTCTCCACGAGCAGATGGCTCTCTGGCTGTCTGGTGCTTCTTGGAATGGCTTGGAGCCATCTGGAGCAATGTACAGGTTCACTTGATAGTCGCTGAGCACTTTATAGTCATACACATCAGTTCCAAGTTGCTGCAGACATAAGAAGACAATGGCAATGTAATGTGACTTGTTCTCTCTCTCAGTGTTATATGAGAACTGAGGTCAAGAGTGGTACAGTGGGCTTCATGCTGTGTGTGAAAAATAACAAACAAATATATAATTTTGAATAGTAAACCATGTGAACATAACTACTTGAAAGACAAAGACAAAGGAGGGTGTGTGTATATATATATATATATATATAGTAGTGTGTGTGTGTGTGTAAAAGAATTTTGATGGATTGGAATGAGCTGGCTTGTGTTCTGTTTCCAGTGTGTTAGTGTTTTATTTATGATATTTAGTGTATTTACAAGCTGTAGTACACAAACCTGTGTCAGAGGGTTGGTGTTAGTGGTGAAGATGCCTGCAAAACCTTTGCTTTGCGCCATACTGAGCACCTCAGCCTCCATGAACTGCATTACCTCAACATTCTGCTGGTGGCTGAGCGACGGGTCAGTTGCCATCATGAAACTGTGTAACACTTTGCCCCGCCCCTGTGGCAGCTGCTTTTCCCTGAGGATTTAAAATGAATTGTGCATATACATAAAGGATGAAGTTTCCATAATTACCAAATCTGGCATCTTATTTCATGACTTGTAGGGACATCTACCCCAAACATATTATGATGAAACTTTATATGTAGGATAGAAGCCAAAATACTTACTGTTGAAGCACCATGACCAGACTGGGGTGCCACTTTGAAGTTTAAGTAAATTTCTCTTTGAGATCTGAGGTTCTCATGGCAGTGCATATTAAGACCCATCTTCTGGGATGTGAATGTGTACAGTCTGGTAGAAGGCTGCCAGTGTTTTGGAGGAACTTGCAGCCCCACCTTCTACTGTGAAGATGAGACAGCAAGATTTCTGGAACAAGGTAATCATCCACCAGGCTATATGCCTTCTTCACATCCAGCAAGACTCGTCTTAAATTTCTTTGTTTAATCACTATTATCAAAACACAAGCATGACATTTGATGAGAATGTATGTACCAGTTTCCTATATATGTGGACACTAAAGGAAACCTAGATTCACAGAACATGTATGAAGTTATTCCGTACTGAATTATTAGCCTTACAGAATGCCACATCCCTCTGTTTTAGTGTGCAGTACCTGATTGGGCCCTCCAGGAACTCAAGGAAGTCGAACACTATTGCCAGCTTGCTAGCTATGTCCACTGTGGGTTCATCATGTGCGTCGAAGTTGAGGGCAACTCCCACTGGCTCTCCAAGCGCATCCTTGACAAGGAAACTGAGGTTCTTCTGTATGAGTGGCTCCCAGATCTTATCAGTGAGATCCTTGTAGTCTCTGCGATGAACATCTGGCTTTAACCATTGCTCCAAGTCTGCTTTCTCATAGAAGCTCTCCGTGATCATGCTGCAATAGGTGTGAGTAAGTACACAGTCTCAGTTCCTTCATAAGGCGGCCACTGTTAACTCTCCAGTAGCTTCAACACTGATTGCACATGATTCACTTTGTGTTCTAAGAAGATACATCTTAATCTTTTCTCATCCTCTGTTTTAATTTTCCTGCACAGATCCTCAGTCAGAAGCCTTCTGCCACCAAGTTTATGAATATACCGCCACATTCATATTGTGTACCCAGTAATATGTCTTTACTTTTCACATTCTCTTACATCATTAATAATTCAGATAGAGGAACAACAAATGGTGCACCCAAAGTTTATTTCTTTAATTTTCACATAAATTAATTTGTATCTGGTTGTAGTGAGTTTGGAAATAAAAAGGTTTTCAAAGTTGTAACGTCTGAGTTTCCCCACCCAAATTCTGTCTATTTCTCGTCTCCTTAGTATGTGCGGCAAGCCCTGCTCATTAGGCCCTGCTAGATTTCAGTGCTTTAATGATGATACTATGTAACCTCTGCAAGTCACTGAGCTCCTCACTGTGTAACATCCTCTCCACTGACTACTTACTTCATCTGGTTTAGGTCCAGATATTCTCCTCTGTGCTTTGGTTCCAAACCTTTGTAATGTTTTATATTTTGCTTGCAAAGCAAGATGCCACACTCCTCTTGTACTTGTGGGAGGACACAGGTTTTTATGACAGAAATGTGTTCAGACTGTGTGTCATGTGTTGTGACACCATGCAGTATCGTTATATAGGTGGATACGAGGATTTCATAGGGATGCTGTCTTCTTCAGGGTTGATGTGATTGGGGTGAGGATGTGGTCAGGTGATTCAGGCATGCTGCAGAAAGGCGGGTCACTCAGATCCACAGGAGAAGTAGAGAAGGCAGAGCCTGGTCAACTTTCCTTGCAGCTTGCATGTAAGACCAGATGCATCCTCACCACATTCACTTTGACCCTGAAGAAGGAGACAGCATGTTCCTTTGAAATGCTGGTATCCACCTACAATAAATACTGCATAGGATCACAACACAAAAGACAATGATTTGGATTAGCTTTTGATAACAAGCATTTTCTGAATTTAGTCTGATTATTAACAGAATTTTTGTTGTTAATATTGTAACATACTCATGAATTTATTGCATACTTGGGCTGTATGACATTTATTTGTAGCGCAACTTATTTACTAGCTTGTAAACCACTATCTGCAGTATTTGTCATGTTGCTTATATTCTGCCCAACAAATTAACATCATCAGCATTATCAAATACTTCATTATAAGCACAATAGACCACTGTAGGTCGCAGTGCTAGGGCCGAAAAGGCCTGCCCCTCATACATTCAAGTACTTGATTATGGCTGTTCCCTTGTAAGTCCACTCACATTCCTGATGTCATGTTTTAGATTAACCTTCCCCATATTTTAGCCCATTGCCAAATGGAAAACATCACATAAAATTGGTGCATCTCAAGAGACAACTGCACCTTGTTGCATCTATGTTATGTGAGCAGTGAATGTACTCACTGGTTTGCAGCATCCTTGTGCTCATCTTGCAACATGTGGGCAGTGTACCTGGTGTTCTCTTGCTTATCAGTAGCTGCTGTAGTGTCTTTGTCATCATCTGTACTGTGCATTCGGTCCATCACATCTTGCAGGTCTTTAGATGAGATGAAGTCAGTAATACCTGCAAAAGATAAACCCGTCAGAGCCATGCTGTCAAAGTTTCCAGTCCTGAAGTAAGGACGATATTTAACTCACCTATTACATATCCCTGCTGCCTCAGCTTAGTGACTGTTAACACAGAGTTGAGTGAGTTACCACCCAACTCATAGAAGTTTGCCCTCTGGCACACCTTAGAACGTATACTGCCTCCCAGAACAGATGCCACCGTCTCAAAGAGAGTATGTGCTTTGGCCAGCTGGTTGTCTGCTATCCCTGTGTAGTCTAGCTCTAGGCTGTCAGTTCTGAGTCCTGCAAGAACACAATTATGTTTCTTGCAGCAGTGATGTAGAAGATTCCTATTCTTTAGTCTGATTTGTTCATGTGCTGTCCCTCTTTCGTATATCTATCCACTGTGTCCCTGGTTTTCTCACAGGTTTTCTTCCCTCTGAGTTTGTTCCCCAGTGAAGAGAAGGTGAGGCAATTACTGAGACCTGCTCACATGTACAGTGCAATATAAAAAAATATTGGCATGCTTTTTGACAGCCCTCACCATTGGAGTTGTTAACTGAAAATCAGTGTTTGTTCTGAAATGAACAGTGGAATGGGCAAAACTTAACAGTTCTCCCTACCACTTGCCTCACATTCTCTTCGTTGCAGATTAACCCTACTTTTGTTTTTTCACGTCATATAGCTGTGTGTTAAGACAACAGGAAGATCCCCTGAAGTAAACACTTCTGTTTGCTCAGTGTAAAAACCTATGTCACTGGGGAAACTACAAATGATTGGTTCAATCATGCACGTCTGGGTTGAATAAGTCATCTGCGTGAGAATAGCAGAATAGGAGATCAGTTAAACAGCATCAGCCGAGATGTCTCATGACAGATTTGTTGCAATATCAACAATGTTAGAGATTTCAGGAGTAATGTGACACAAGGGCCCAGCAGTCAGATGGTCACATTAATATGGGATAAAAATGTTCTGCTATGTAAGGTACAAAGCAGTTATATACAGAGTGTATCAAAACTCAACGGCACAACTTCAGGAATGGAATCCTCATATAGTGAGAAGAAAAAAAGTCTATGACAACATGGGTCAGGAAATGCATAATTACAGAGTTATCAGAGCGTGTAATTTATGGAGTGCTATACTTCATGCATAGTCGTGCTCCTCCATATTTCAGTCTGTCTGCCCGCAGGCACCTTAATGCACATTATCCTGGGCGCTGGATAGGTAAAGGTGGACAGACTGCTTGGCCACCACGCTCTCCTGACTTAAACCCCCTGGACTTTTACCTGTGGGGACACTTAAAGTCTGTCATGTAAACGACTGCTGTTGCTGATGTACCAACTCTCCATGCGCGCATTGTGGCAGCCTGTCAGACAGTACGCACTACACCGGGCATTTTTGATTGTGTGCGGCACTCAATGCGACGAGTGGAGGCCTGTATTCAGGCAGGAGGAGGTCACTTTGAAAATTTCCTCTGATACGTGACCAGAGTGTTCCAGCTGGCATTACAGACATATTCAGTATAACAGTGTTAGGAGTGTCGGATTGCACTAACGTTACTAAAAGGTCTGATAACTCTGTAATTATGCATTTCCCAAACCGTGTTGTCATACACTTTTTTTCTTCTCTCTACATGAGGATTCCAATCCTGAAGTTTTGCCGTTGAGTTTTGATACACTCTGTATAATACGTGAAAAGACATGTTACCCACACCCAACCAACAGAGAACACAATGATGCGAGTACCATCCTTCTGAAGATGAAAGCAGAACATTCTTCTGAAACATCAGCAGACATGGCATAACATCTTCAGCAAACACTGTGCTCAAGTGGTCAGCACTTCTGTTTGGTATTTGGGTGGTGCCCAGCTTGTCTCAACATGGATACTTGCTATCTTGATTGAGATTTTTCATGGATTTCCTCAGTACTTCAGGAAAATGCCAGGATTCACTTAGTGGGGGGGTGGAGTCCAACTGGGTCCACTCGGCACGGTGGCCACTGATTGGCCTATTGTAGCTGGCCCCAGGTGATTATGATGGAGAATCTGGTGGAATCAAGATTGGCAGGGGAAACCGAAGTACTCGGAGAAAACCTGCCCCAGCACCACTTTGTCCACCACAAATCCCACTTGACCAGACCCGGGATCGAACCCAGGCCGCCGTGGTGGGAAGCCAGCGACTAACCGCTTGGCGCGCCCAAAATGCCAGGATAGTACCTCAAGTTAGGCCACATTCCTTCCAATTCACTATTAATCCTACTGTTCGATGCTCTCTCTAGTCTCTATATACTACTGCTCAGACTGTTATAAAGAAATAAATGAGTGTGTATTCAGAAAGAAGAGTTCTGACTTTTATGATGTAACACAATCAGCTTTTTGGAGGAACATATATTGCCTCCATCTTCAGGATGGAAGAGTTATCCAAGCAAGAAACCAGCATAAAAGTGACAGGAGACAGAGCACAAAAAAATATAAACCCACAGCTGGTGTGTATTAAACAGATATGACCAAATGTTGCCTCATGGCAATCAATAAATTGATTGGTAGATCTGGCTGTGGTAAATGCCCACATCTCATATACTAATATGAGCACAGAAGGAACCTTTGCTGAGAGACTGGTGAGTGATGCAGTAATGCCTTCTGAGTTGTATATAGGAGGTGAGCAATTTAAACCTCAGTCAGGACATTAGCTTTCTGACTTAGTTCTCCATTGTTCTCCACAGTCCTGCCAGTGGTACTTCAGGTTAGGCAATGACCATTCCATTCCACATACAAAATATGAAAACTCATAGAGGAACCTGGAGAAAGAGAGTTTCTCACCACCACTGCCAGTGTTTTGTTCTTCATATGTCCGCAAGAGTGCCTGTCGGTCTGTCTTACCATTCACGAGGAGTGGGATGCTGTCGATCACAAACACCTGCAGAAAAAGTTCAAATTCTGAATGCTCAGGACTTCCTTCACTCACTTTACTGTGATCACATCTGTGTGTCTGTTTCCTATTTCTTATTCTGCCTTATGGTCGCTCACATATGAAATGGATTGCTTTACCTTTGTGGTCAGTGGTCAGAATAATTTGATGATTTTAGGGCAGTGGGTATTATTAAAGTTTTGGTGTTCTGGAATGTGATGGCTACCAGATTATGTCATGTCACATCCCAGAAGACCGTATCTCTTCCCAGTCCATATCTAACTTAACGTTATATTCGAGGTCTGATAGGACTGAGGGTGCTTAGTCTGTTCAACAGTTTCAAGCAGGTCACAGATACGTCCATTAATTCATCATTCATAATTATCCTCCTGTTTAAAGCTATACAGTCTGTGTAGTTGAGGAAATGTCACCTGTGGCTGCATGTAGGTCGTGAGGCTATTGTGCAGTGCAGTCTCCACCTGTTGTGACGTCAAGCAGGCACTGGGGTGTGTTGTCACATATGCCAGCAGCACCTACAACAGGAGTGTGTTTCAGAATCTGTATGTCCCACTTCACGGTGGACATTGAGACTCATGTGGTGTGTTACCTGCTCAATCTCTCCTGGCTTGTAGCACAACACGACACTCTTTTCAACACCTGGCACTGCTGCCACAGCTTGCTCCACCTCCGACAAATCGACCCGATGTCCCCTGACCTTCACCTGAGAGTCTGTGCGCCCCTCATACATGAGTGAACCCTTCACAAGACGTGCAAAATCGCCTGTGCGGTACAGACGTGAGTGTTCTGCAATGGAAACAGGTGGAGTGTTTAACAACATAGTTCTAACATAGGAGGGGAGAAGAAAATTACATAATAATAAGCTAAGCTTGAACATATAGCACATGTGGTAGAGTAATGAAATGCAGAAATGAACTCTGTCTAAGAATTATTTAGGTATTTATACATATTTTTTCTAATTGGCCCCACATTTCAGACCAGTTGAGAAGTTCTGTAAGGACTCTAGATACAAGATTTTATCAGAATAATTTCTCTAAATCTGTGTGAAATGAGTGACATGCCACTCACCAGGATCCACAGTTAGTGGATTAGGCACAAAGCGCTCAGGGTCCCGGCCCCTCACATAGCCTTGAGTTAGGTTCAGGCCAGACACGTATAGTTCACCCACTTCACCTGACACCACAGGATGTTGATTCTCGTCCAGCAGGTAGATGGCAGTGTTGTGAAGAGGGCGACCTGTAAACACACAATGAGACTTATACGAGTTCGTGTTACAGACACAGTACAGAGAACAGATGTTAGTAGTGGATGCACTGACCTATGGGCACCTTGTCATTGTCCTTGATCTCGGCTGCAGATCGCACCACATGGTACGTGACATCACCCATCACCTCTGTGCTACCATAGAAGTTACAGAGCACGTGGTCACCTGAGTTAAAGTGGGCAAAGAAGTCATGGGCAAGCTGGGTGGGAAGTGGCTCCCCACTGCAAACCCATGTCTTGAGATGAGACAGGAGTCCCTTGTCGGGGGTTTCAAATCTCAGAACTAGCAGCAGTGAGCGCAGGAGCGACGGTACAAGCACTAGTCGTTGCACCTGCAACATGATACTAACATGAAGACACAACAGCCTATTGCCTAGCGACATCTGGTCAGCTAATGCAATTTGTGCCCCACCTTTTGTTCCTCAAGGACATGCAGAAGTCGCTCGGGATCCTTAGTTACATCACGGGGCACCACAAGGACTTTGCGTCCCTGTAATAGGGGCCCCCACAGTTCTGCCACTGAGTCCACAAATGTGAGTGCTGTCTTGAACACACAGGTGTGCTCCTCTGGGCCATACGGGAATTCACGCCACTGCCACTGCAGTCTGTTGAGCACCACCTGGTGTGGCAGCCGCACTCCTTTGGAGAATAAAGTCCATTTAGTTTGTAATGGCAAGGAATTAACAAGGAATGAGTACTTACCAGCTGGTGGGAACAGACAGTTTGCGAGGGGGGACTTAGAGTCGCAACTGAATGTAGTAACTATAGCATTGTTGACCTTTTGCTTTAAACTTAAATTTGGTTGCAGGAAACACATCTTATCTGTGTCTTGGTTCTTTGAGGAAGGGAGCGAAGTTATCACTATTTCAGTTTCAGTGTTTGTTTATATGGAGGGATGCTTTTTATGAAATGCCTTTCTACTGCCGAAACACCAACAGACAATCAATGTTGGCTTTATTTAGACTTTGCTCTGTCGTGACTTGCACAGTTCCATGTTTACACAGTACTGAAGCTAGTTTGTTACCTTTAGGTATGCCTGTGCTCCCGGAAGTATAAAGCACAAGCGCAAGTGATGTGTTTCCACCAGACAGCATCTGACTCTCAGGCACTGGTTCTGGTGACAGGTTGGCAGCTTGTTGGTGCAGCTGCTCATACTGGACAATATTCCGAAATGAGCCAAACAGTTCCTCATCATCTGGAACATTTCAGTATACAGGTAAAGGAGAACCACTTGTCATCTCAGCTATGCAGAGTGGTGGATAACAGTGGTAAAGCAAAAACTCACCCTTATCAGCTATGACGAGCATGGGCTCTGCCTCACTCAGGATGTGACTCACCCTGGCAGGAGGGAAACTGGGGTCAAGTGGAAGGTAGGCTGCCCCAATTTTCCACACAGCCAACAAAGTTACCACAAGCTGGTCACTGGGGTCCATGCATACAGCTACTAAAAAATCACCGTCCTGGTTGGCTTGTCTGTGTGCACTGTGAACATGTTGCAACAATGCCCTGGCCAGTCTACTTGCTGCAGCATCCAGGGTCTTTAAGCTGAGTGTTTTGCTGTGAAAAGTCAAAGCCTCCTTCTGCCCAGATAGGCCAACTGTTTGCTCCAGGAGGCGATGCAAGAGCAAAGGAGGGCTGCTGAAAGGGTACACCTCTCCACGGAGAATGGACAGTGCGGGGATGGAACCCATGACCACTCACAGACCTGAAACAGAATCACATCCATAAGTGCATCTGGGACATGCCTGCCCATTTGCAAGTTCTTGCACCTCCAAATTGTACACCACCTTGATCCTTTCAAGCAATGGCAAAGTAATATTTAAAGCTGCTTTTCCTTGCAAATTGACCATGCCATAAATCAGCTACTTCCCACTAGGAAGGCCCAATGTCAATCCCATGGTAGTCCCCGTGGGATTTGTGGTGGACAGCGTTTTTCTCTGAGCACTTTGGTTTTCCCACACCAGTGATCCATACTCATTCTGCATCCCAAGGGAACCAACATAATTGAAAAATCAAACAAAGAATAAGTAAAACAAACAGAAGATCGGGGGATGGTAAATAGGCTCATTTGGAGCTGCAACTCCAAGAGACTCACTTCTATTGCACTCCTAACATTTTTCTTTTATTCTGTTGAGATCTGGTCTGCTAGAACCTGATTTGAGTCTCACTGAGGGCTGTGCTGTATTGCTGTCCTATGCAGTCTGTTTGTTATCCTCTGTCCATTCCATGTGTGTTCTTCATTGCCTTGTGCAGCCCTGAATATCCTCTGCTATGTACGCTACACCAACTTGCTCTCTCTTTGTTTTGGTGTACTGCTTATGGTCTCTGCTGGCCTGAGAAATCTCATTTGCTGTGCTTCACGTTTCGGGTCCAGACAGTAAGGCAGGTTTTGCTGTTCTGAACCTCTCTTGACATATTTTTACCCAAGCTTCTTCTATTTGAATCATTTCAAATGCAAATTTCATTGCAAATCTTTAATTAACATCTATGTATATCACAGTCCATCAATAATGCAACAATTGTTACTTTTTTAATTCCTCCAATTTCACTATTTAACACTTAACACAACATGTTTTGGCCATAGATGGCCATCTTCAGGTGTCTTAATGTATCAAAACTGCTAGACTGCTCTGATGTGTGCTAAAACCACGTGCTGCAATCCACTTAAAAATAAAATAAAAACAATTAATTAATTAAAATTTATTAAAATTTTTCTCACTACTTTTGTAAAATACCTATTCACTCATAAGGGGCGTCATACACTTGTTTAGAGCTATGTGATTATTCCAGATGTTTTATTCATCAAATGAAATGCCTAGATTGCCCATTAAAATACAATGAAGTGCCAAAAGTCATGGGATAGGTACCTAGTATCGTGTAGGACCCCCCTCTAGCCTGGCGAAGAGCAGCAACTCGACGTGGCATCGATTCCACAAGTGGACGGAAGACCTCTGGAGAGATGTTGAGCCATGCCGTCTGGATAGCCGACCACAGCTCCCTGGTATTTGTAGGTGCAGGATTTTGGATGCAAATGGACCTCTCCACCACGTCCCATAAATGCTCGATTGGGTTCATGTCGGGCGAACGTGGTCAATGATGTGTTTAGGTGGACGAGCGGACCCAACTCTTGCCACGTGAACACACCCCACACCAGTATGGAACCACCACCAGCCTGCAAGGTGCCTTATTGACAACTGGGGTCCATGGCCTCTTGGAGTCTGCACCACACTTGAACCCTACCATCCGCCCGAAACAACTGGTACCGTGACTCACTGGACCATGCCATATGTTGCCAATCCTCCAGGGTCCAATTAGCGACGTCACAAGCCCAGGTGAGTCGCTGTGTCCAGTGTCGTGGTGTTAACAGAGGCACTCTGGTCGGTCTTCTGCTCCCATATCCCATGGAAGCTAAAGAACGCTGCACTGAATTGCTGGATATGCGTTTGGTACCTCCTGCATTGAATGTGGATGTGATTTCAGGCAGTGCCACTCGTCTGTTACCACGGACAAGACGCCGCTGGTCACGATCATTAAGCACCCGTGGTCGGCCACTGTGCTGTCCAGAGTGGGTGGAAATGCCTTCCACAAGGTATTCCCAGTACACACGTGACACCGTGGATTGAGGAATGTTGAATGACCGCATAACCTCGGAAATGGAATGTCCCATCCGCCTGGCACCCACTATCATGCCCCGTTCAAACTCCGATAATTCACGTCGGCTTGCCATGAGCAGACTGGCCTATGAGAGAACACCTCACAACTGATACTGCTCTGGGCATTCCCAAGCCGTCAAGGGACGGTGGCGCCACTTAAACAAAAATTTACATACTGCTATCCCACGACTTTTGGCACTTGAGTGTATGTCAGACAAACAGAAAGAACATTTAAGACCAGATATAAAGAACACATTCATGACATGAGAAGTAACAATAGTAACTCCAGATATTCAAGTCACAAATTGAACACTGGACACACATACGGCACAATAACAGATACCATGGAAATTATAACAACAGAGAGGAAAGGAAAATATTTGAACACATTTGAGAAGTATCATATTTACAAAACCAGTAAAGAAAATCTACATATGAACAACACTAATATCGACACATACAATTTTATATTTGAAGAATTATACAAAATTTACACAAAATAACACTAGACCCTCCCCACTCTTCACAACCATGGCATGTAAATACGGGAACAGGGCCGCGCCATAGCTCAAGCGGTTAGTCGCTGGCTTTCCACCACGGCGGCCCGGGTTCGATCCCGGTTTTGGTCAAGTGGGATTTGTGGTGGACAAAGTGGCGCTGGGGCAGGTTTTCTCCGAGTACTTCGGTTTCCCCTGCCAATCTTCATTCCACCAATTGCTCCACAATCACCCTCACCTATCAACTGGGTCTGGTACAATAGGCCAGAAGTTGCCACAGTACAAGGGACTTAGTCCCACTCCACTAGCAATAAAATAAAATACGGGAACAAACACACCACAAGCTGCTAGAGGAAACAACACACAAGCAAGGGGCATGTGAGTATAAAGCAAACCAACATAACATTAATAACAACAATGAGAAAACAATATTAACATGTGGCATTTTGTAGCTTACAGATTGCAGGCATAGCAAAACAATTGTCTAACGAACATAAAAACAAACTTCCGAAATAAAACCTCTGGAATAAATCACACAGCTCTAAACAATTCGACTGCGCCCCTTATGAGTGAATGGGTACTTTACAAAAGTAATGAGAAAAACTTTAATAGAAAATCTTAATGGATTGTAATTAATTAATTATTTTTATTTTATTTTTAAGTGGATTGCTGCGCGTTGTTTCAGCGCACTTCAGAGCAGTGTAGCAGTTTCGATACATTGAGACACCTGAGGATGGCCATCTATGGCCGAAACATGTTGTGTTAAGTGTTAAATGGTGAAATTGGAGGAATGAAAAGGGGAACAATTGTTGCGTTATTGACGGACTGTGATATATATATATATATA